GTAAACAGTACAGAGTTACTCTATCAACTAACTGTAATTGTTTCCTGTTTATCAAAACAGGAAACAATTACTCTCTCATAGTAAACAGTACAGAGTTACTCTATCAACTAACTGTAATTGTTTCCTGATTATAAAAACAGGAAAAAATCACTCTCTCATAGTAAACAGTACAGAGTTACTCTATCAACTGAGGTATATTTTTTCAGTTCAGATTAGAATTGGGTCTTTAACAGCGTAATTACAAGTTGTGCGCTGTTTTATGTAACGTAGGTAAACAATCACAATATGGGTATGACGGAGTTCTATATATCTATGTACATGGAATAGGCTAATTGCAATACATGATTTACGTACTTACTATGAATGGCACATTTAACTATATGAACAATATACAACATAATTTACTGCAGGCCTCTATATTTTCTACAGACAGGGAGGTAGGTAGGCACGTACGTAGGTAGACAGGAATGTAGGCAGGCAGATAGGTAGGTAGGCATGTATGTAGGTAGGTAGGCAGACAGTTGACATGTAGGTAAATAGTAGTGTAGGGAAGGAGGTATGTAGGTAGGTAGGTAGGTATGGCAGGAATGTACGCAGGGAGATAGGTAGGTAGGCAGGTGTAGGTAGGTAGGCAGATAGTTGGCATTAAGGTAGTTAGTAGTGTAGGGAGGGAGGTAGATAAGTAGGTAGGTAGGAAGGAAGGTAGATATGTAGGTAGAAAGGTAGGTTGGGATATATGTTGGTTGGTAGATAGATATGTAGGTAGGCAGTTTGATTAAAACCAAGATAAAACTATTAGAACCTGTGTACGTCCAGTAGTAAGATTAAAGGTAGAGAAGGTGCAGAAATCATTGAACCAAAACTTTAGTCATATCTACAGTCTACATTCATACTGAAGCATTATACAATACAATAGTTTATAATGGTCTGAAAACGTAATTTTCAGTGACTTTACATTTACAGAATAGTATAATTCCTGACACTACCCTCTAAGTTTCAGAATTTTTTTTATTAACTGTACACAATTCATAAAATTAAAAATAATAAATTGTTAAAGAATAGCTGGAGGGCCATTTTTCGTTTTCAACCTTTAATTGGTAATCAAAGTAAGATATGACAATGAATATTCAGATCAATTTCCTTCGGCCGTTCCGAAAAAATTTAAAAAACTGTTTTTGATTCCACTTTTCAGAGAAATGACAAATGTCCAATGATTTTCAGGAGTAGGAGTAGCTTAATGCTACAGGTATAATAATAATAATAATAATAATAATAATAATAATAATAATAATAATAATAATATTAATGATAATAATAATAATAATAATAATAATAATAATAGTAATAATAAAAATAATAATAATAATAAAAGTAAGAATAATGATATGATACCAGTATAAATGGGAAGGATGATTACAATAATAATAATAGCACTTGTAAGGAGTGTTAAGGATAATAACAATGAAAATAAAAATACTGGTTTGAGTGAAAAGGATGATATTGGAATGATAATAATGATACTAGTATGAGTGGAAAGGATGATTACAATGATAATATTGATACTAGTATGAGTGGAAAGGATGATTGGAATGATAATAATGATACTAGTATGAGTGGAAAGAATGATAAACATGATAATAATGATACTAGTATGAGTGGAAATGATGATGGGAATGATAATAATGATACTAGTATGAGTGGAAAGGATGATTACAATGATAATAATGGTACTAGTATGAGTTGAAAGGATGATTGGAATGATAATAATGATACTAGTATGAGTGGAAAGGATTATTACAATGATAATAATGATACTAGTATGAGTGGAAAGAATGATAAACATGATAGTAATGATACTAGTATGAGTGGAAAGAATGATTACAGTGATAATAGTAATACTAGTATGAGTGGAAAGGATAATTACAATAATAATAATAATGAAACTATTATGAGTGGAAAGGATGATTGGAATGATAATAATATACTAGTATGAGTGGAAAGGATAATCACAATTATAATAATGATACTAGTATGAGTGGAAAGAATGATAAACATGATAATAATGATACTAGTATGAGTGGAAAGGATGATTACAATGATAATAATGATACTAGTATGAGTGAAAAAGGATGATTACAATGATAATAATGATACTAGTATGAGTGGAAAGGATGATTACAATGATAATAATGATACTAGTATGAGTGGAAGTGATGATTACAATGATAATAATGATACTAGTATGAGTGGAAATGATGATTACAATGATGATAATAAAGACACTAGTATGAGTGGAAAGGATGATTACAATGATAATAATGATACTAGTATGAGTGGAAAGGATGATTACAATGATAATAATGATACTTGTATGAGTGGAAAGGATGATACAATGATAATAATGATACTAGTATGAGTGGAAAGGATGATTACAATGATAATAATGATACTAGTATGAGTGGAAAGGATGATTACAATAATAATAATGATACTAGTATGAGTGGACAGGATGTATCCCAGCTAGAGAGAGAACTGAGTATTGCAGAATCATCATTAGCGTTCCTGAGAAAAGGAATACATGCTGTCTGTTCAGTTTGTCTTTGTGTCTATCTTAGTGCCCGTCTGTAATGGTGCCTGGCTGTCTGTCTATTTGCCTGTCTTTTCTATGTCTGCCTGTCTTGGTTTCGGTCTGTCTGTTTTTTTATATATCTTAGTGTTTGTTTGATCGGTCTGCCTACCTTGCCTTTACATACTAAGATTAAATCTGTTTTAATTTGTATGGTTTTTATTCATTTGTCATTAATGTAAAAAATACCGTGAATCTTTTCTTTTTCAAAAATATGTTGTTTAATTTAAATTGAATTTTTTATACTGCAGCTATAGAAATATTCTTTTAATCTACAAGATTAAAAAGTGATGTCAAGATAATGTCTTCACCTATTTTAAATTACTCATAGTAATCAAATTTTGTACGAAATCTATTGAAAAAATGCGCAAAATTTTCTATAAAACCGGTTTTTTGCATTTTGGCTCCCTGGAACATCCTCAAGCAGTAAGACAGGCTTAATTGGAATTTAATATTACAAAAATTAGACGATAATAGTATTTTCAAATTGCAAGTTCTAAAAGCTTCAATCTAGTTGAACAGCTCATGTATGGGTTTCAGAACATCAGAAAATATTGACTGGTCTTCATCATGAAATAGCAAGACTTACACAAAAATGTTCAGGTAGATACTTATTTTTTACTTTTATGTTTGTCAAAAACTGATTTCAACTTTTCTTTGCAACAAGTGGAGACAATTTTCAACATACAAAGCAATCTTCAGATGAAGATGAGGTTTATGATACGAGTGTTCGTAACCAATACAGTTTTTTCTGTATTTATTCTTTATCATCCATGCAAATGTAAAATTGATTTTTTATGTTAAATGATTTAATAAGCTTTTCAAAGTCTAAGTTAAAAATTTATGACAAATTCATTCTTCATTTGTTTTTTTTACAGTTTCAGTTTGTCAATAAAGTTTTCATGCATATATAAACATTAATATTCTACATTTCTACTTGAATTTTATGATAGTATGGTTAGAATACTTTTTAAAGAGAATTACATCGCTTCGTACTTCAAAGTATTCTGAAATCGTTTTAGAGTAAACAATATTTATACATTAATTAGGACAAATTTATTCAAAAGATTAATTTTTTATAGATACAGATTTTTCATATATTAAGATATTTCATACATTAAGATATTTCATATATTAAGATATTTCATAATTTAAGATATTTCATAGATTAAGATATTTAATAATTTAACCCTATCCCTGCTGGGGTACTTGAAAACCAGGATACGCTGGGGGGGGGGGTGGCAATTTG